TGTTTAGATTGTTTTATAAGGACGTTCATTTCGATTTTTGTTTCTAAATTGCATAACAGATCTAATAGTAATAGGACTAAGTAGTAAAAAAATAACTATTAAGCTCTTATTTTTATGTCACTTAAGACTAAATATTGTAATTACATTTGGAAACAATGCTCAGAGACTGAATATGGAGTCGACTGGATAAATAGACGTTAATACTTAAATGATATAGTAGGCCCCCAGTCCGAGACCCCAGCCGCACGCTGAGTAGGCCTGTTAGTAAAGTATGCTATGGTCATGACAAAAACAACTTCTCCATCTTCTCTTACACGCTACCCAAACAGCAGGCTATTATCTGGCCCACAATGATCATCCCCATCTCTTGACCCTAGCTGGCCCTATCTCACCACTTGACAAGGGGTGTAAGTATACTAGAGATTAGAGAGTCTTTGTTGACATTGTAAGATCAGATACTCAGAATATTCAGAATAAAACTTGACACAGATCTAAGCGACAGCCCCGAGTTGACCCTGGCCCGGATGCAGGCATTTACTGCATACAGTCTTAAATTTAATCTTAATCTAGATCTAGATCTAGGTTCTAGATCTACTTGACAGTTACATGACCATGATATAAAAGAAATTATGCCTAGATATCTAGATTCTAGATCTAGATTCTAGATCTAGATCTAGAATCTAGATCTAGAATCTAGATCTAGATCTAGATTCTAGCCTACAAAAATTTAGAAAAATGACTGATGGTGGATGGATAGAATAGATTCTAGAGATCTAGATCTAGATGCCTTAACTGCCTTAACTAAAATTTAGCCTAGGCCTAGATCTAGACCTAGAGTGGATAGATCTACATCTAGAATCTAGATCTAGATCTTGATCTAGATATAGATATAGATATAGATCTAGATAATATTAGTAGAGGGCTTGGCAATCTTACACTCACACCAAAATCAAAATTCAACTTTTGCCAAAGCCAAAAGCCAAAAAATACGAGTGCTTTTGAGGTGGGGAAAAAGGTTCACCTTTACCGGCAGACGCAGCAGTAGCCATGATCCTTTTCATGATCAATTCAATTTACACACAAGAAATATGCTCGATATTTCTTTGCGTTGTTTTATAAGTATTTTGTCGCATATCCAGCGACATGATTCTTCTATTTCCATCATAATACAATGCAGGCAGCCATAGTTACAGGAAACCCAAGGGGAAGTAATCAACTGAGCCAAGCACTTGTTGCCATTTATAGACATAACCGGTGTAGGGGTATTTGAATGTCCCAAGTTACAAGTCTCACTTGAATAATTCTCCTATGTCGTGTTTACATTGTTTGTTCAGTTGATATAAAATGAAGTAGGTTTAGAAGTTAATCAAACTCACAAAATCCATATTGGATTAACTTATATTATGCCTGCACCCAACACACACACACACACACACACACACACACACACACAC